CCAATCCCCTCTTAGGACAAGCATGGGTTGCTTAAGACCAAATTTCTTCAAGGAGTGAGTGAGTGAGTGAGTGAGTGCGGGAGCGAGCGAGTGAGTGGGTAAGTCCGTGAGGGAGGGAGGGAGCGAGTGAGTGGGTAAGTCCGTGAGTGAGTGAGTGAGTGGGAGGGAGGGAGGGAGCGAGTGAGTGGGCAAGTCCGTGAGTGAGTGAGGGGGCGGGTGAGTGGGTAAGTCTGTGAGGGAGGGAGGGAGAGAGCAAGCGGGTAAGTCCGCGAGTGTGTGTGTGTAGCTGAAAAATAATCAGTAAAGCCACAATTGCATCGCGACAATCATGCAAGACGTTCAGTTCTTAAATATATTTCTATGATTGCAATTCCAGTTATTTTTAAAATGAAAATACTGTTAAATGAGTCTCCCCCACTTTGTAACCCTCCACGTGTCAGTGCGATGGTGACAAATCCTGTTTCACCAGTACACACAGCGCTTTCTCACGGAGCGAGCTGGAAAAGTCAGGGTCTTAATGACCCAAGACTAAACACGAGCGAGCACGAACAGACATTATCCTTACTACATGCCATTATGTATTCATAACCTGTTTTTATAATGGACAGTTAGATGGCAAGATAAATATGAGTAATTTATCTGTGTAATTATTTTGATGTAGAGCGGGCCATGTCTCTGAGTAGACCTTTTGTAATCCTTTCGTTGACAATACGACATTTAGCAGCTGTGTCCCAGCGTGCCTGCCTGCATAGATTCATTTAGTTTATGCATCACGCTCTAATTCGCGTGCTTCTATAGTCAGCGGCTTTAATGCTGTGCGCACGCTAGAGGATTTTATTTAAATATTGTAAACATAAAGCATTGAAAGAGTTGATTTTTAAAGTCGCTCAACCATGTTTTAATTTCAACAGTTTATGGAACGGGCGAGGGACTGTCGTGATCGTAGGCAACAAATATAAGCCTTGTACCCTGAACTTTATATGGGCCTCGCTCTATATACAATCACAGGTACAGTTGTGAATACCTGGCTAACGCTAGTCTCTGTATATATATAATGTTGATAGAAACAATGTATTCTACATTGAAAGTATCCCTCATGAGATGCGAGATATTAGAACCTGAACCCGGGGAAATCTAGACTTGCTTCATTAAGGGCTTTAGCATCGTAGCAGGGAAAATAATGTTGTTCAGGCACCGTGAGACAGATTACTGTGAATACAACTGGATACTAAACCAGTTGACTAAACTGTTGATCGAATGGTCACAATGAATGACTGTTCTTATTGACGTCCTGTTTTCGTGACGTGGGACATTGCGAATTATTAGTCACTGGTTTGCCAGGCCTCCAGAGGTGATTATTTTCAGCGCCGTGTTAAACAAACAAACAAACAAACATAACCAGTCACCCGAAGCCTCGTGTATCTTATCCTTGTTACCCAAAGAGGATTGGGCAGCCTTTTAACACCAGCCTGCCATCCCACAGTAGAGCAATAGGTGTACCCTGATCAAACAACAGTCATATGCGGTCAGGATGGAAATAACCCATTGCCCGACGCCCGAGTCCAGTGTTTTTTCTGTCGGGCAAACAAATTTGTATATCACACTGTACCGGTGTCCAGTTGACTTTCCAATGTTAATTATGTTCTTTATGTAAAAAATTAGCAATAAAACAGCTGGTATAGTGGAAAGATGATCAGGGCAAGTGACTTTACATGTGCCACTGTACCGGAGTACACTATCAATTTTAAAGTTATCTTCACCCCCGACGGTATACGCATAGCTGATCAAACGTAATCTAATATACTAGATATGATGCTAAGATACACTGCAACAACGCTGACCCTGGATATCTTGCGACCTGCATCCAATCCCTGTTACTCAAAGCGACTTAAATTCTGAACCTCATGTCCAAAGTGCAGTGTTCGTTCGATGCATGAATGAAGTCACTGACATCAGGGCTTTAGAAGAGTAAGCTTGAAATACGAGCTTCTCTGAGTCATGAACTTCAGGTTTTAGAGGTGAAACCTCAACACTTAACTCAAGGTTACCGGTCTCTTGATAAGAAGGGAGACAACTGCTGTGAGATGTTCATCATCAATCATGCAAGGCCTTTCCGCTCCGCCAGGCTGATCATGAATAGTTTCCCCGTGCTATTAAAAAACCCTCCTGTTGTGTGACATCGTTTCAATGACACCTACACACCGAACCCTGTGACCCCCTACGTCTGTTACTAAATCTGAAAGTCTAAGGGTGCAGCCTGTCTGGCAGCAAGCCTGTACCCGCTGTTGGTTTGGATGTATAGCGCTGTTCACAGACAGACGTTAAGCTGTTTTCTACAGGGTGCCTTATCTACGATGACAGCGTTATTAGCTCAATGTCATCTTGTCGTGTGAATAAAATGGCAGGGTTCTGTGATTCACATTGTTAATGTTAACTCTTTACTCGACGTTGTGGAGAAGTCAGAAGTCCCCACGATATAAATCTGAAATAGACACCTAGACGCTTGTAAGACTCTTCTGGAGATTAGCGTCGGGTGATATTCGTTGACACTGTTTGTGTGAGTTACTGTGTGTGAGTTTAGTTGTACGCCGCACTCAGCAATATCACAGCTATATGGCGGCGGTCTGTAAATAATCGACTCTGGACCAGACAATATAGTGATCAACATCATGAGTATCGATCTGCGCAATTGGGAACCGATGACATGTGTCAACCAAGTCAGCAAGCCTGACCACCCGATCCCGTTAGTCTCCTCTTACGACAAGCATGGGTTGCTGAAGATCTAACCCGGATCTTCACGGGTCGACACTGTTTGATACTGGGTGGACACTTTTGTAATCTACCCGTCAATATAAGAGTCCCGTTGAATTCACGTGTAACGTTCAAGCCTATCACGCGTGATGTTGAGGGAAAAGTACATCCAGCTAAGCCAGTTGTCAAACATACAATTATTTAGTCCAATTGTCAACATAGCGGCAAAGCGCTATTGGATTTCCGCAACAGCATTTAACTGTTTCATTTCGGCTGGCTGATAAGATCAGTGTATATCGGGTGTTTCGTCATAGTGAAGGGGTACGGTGACATGATGGTATAGGCTGGTGACAGGTGTGTCTCGGTCTACAGGTACACAGTGCAGTTTATACGCAGGATAGCTCTTGTAGCATGACCCAATATGTTATTTCCGAAATCCTCACAGGGCCACTGTTTGGTTGTAGCCATAACACCCCTACTGTATTTACCATCCGTACTATCCTAGCACACCTAGCATACTGTGTGTAGTAATCTAACTGTGCGTTACTCCCGTACCGTCCGTATCATACGTGTATGTATCTCCCACGTTGTATTTAGTGACAATACCACGGGTAAGATCCTCACTATAGGGGCCACGCCTACTATCAAAGCCATAGGTAGCGCCATACCATCGGTGTCGTACGTGGTGTCCCACGTGTTATCACACATACAATTCACAGTACCATACCATAGTTATTATCATATATGTCATACCGTCCTTAAGTTACCATACCCTCATTATTATTATTTATGTCATACCGTTGTTAAGTTACCATACCATCATTATTAGCAAATATGTCATACCATCGTTAAGTTACCATACCATCATTATTATCAAATATGTCATACCGTTGTTAAGTTACCATACCATCGTTATAATCAAACATGTCATGGTGTCCTTAAGTTACCATGTCATCATTATTATCATATATGTCATACCATCGTGAAGTTACCATACCATCATTATTAGCAAATATGTCATACCATCGTTGAGTTACCATACCATCATTATTATCAAATATGTCATACCGTCGTAAAGTTACCATACCATCATTATTAGCAAATATGTCATACCATCGTTAAGTTACCATACCATCGTTATTAACAAATATGTCATACTGTCCTTAAGTTACCATGTCATCATTATTATCATATATTTCATACCGTCGTTAAAGTACCATACACTCATTATTATCAAATATGTCATACCGTCGTAAAGTTACCATACCATCGTTATTATCAAATATGTCATACCATCATTAAGTTACCATGCCATAGTTATTATCAAATATATCATACCGTCGTTAAGTTACCATACCCTCATTATTATGAAATATGTCATACCGTCGTAAAGTTACCATACCATCATTATTAGCAAATATGTCATACCATCGTTAAGTTACCATACCATCATTATTATGAAATATGTCATACTGTCCTTAAGATACCATACCATCATTATTATCATATATGTCATACCGTCGTTACGTTACCATACCCTCATTATTATTATTTATGTCATACCATCATTAAGTTACCGTACTATCGGTATTATCAAATATGCCATACCTTCGTTAAGTTACCATGCCATCGTTATTATCCAATGTCATACTGTCCTTAAGTTACCATGCCATCATTATTATCATATATATCACACCGTCGTTAAGTTACCATACCCTCATTATTATAAAATATGTCATACCGTCGTTAAGTCACCATACCATCATTATTATCAAATATGAGATACCATCATTAAGTAACCATACCATCATTATTATCAAATATGTCATACCGTCATTAATTTACCATACTATCGTTATTATCATATATGTCATACCATTGTTAAGTTACCATATTACCCTCATTATTATCAAATATGTCATACCATCATTAAGTTACCAAACCATCGTCATTATCAAATATGAGATACCGTCCTTAAGTTACCACACCATCGTTGTCATGATAACGACAGTATGATTGGTTGGTTGGTTTAACGCCGCACTCAGCAATGTTCCAGCTATATGACAGCTGTGTGTAAATAATCGAGTGACAAGCATGGGTTACTGAAGACCAATCATAATAACCAACAAACAAACCAACCAATCATACAGTCGTGATCATAGATCGCATGATGTTAATCACTGGACCGTCTGGTCCAGACTCGATTACTGACACACCATGAACCAATATAAACATATCAAAACCATATGTCATTTCAAACAGGTTTATTTCTAACGTGTTTGCATAGGAATGTAAATAGCATATGAAAGTACTTTCAATTTGAAAATAGATGGGAAATACTCTTTCTGTAAATAAACTGTTGGCATGATGAGATTAGTTAAATAACAAGCAACAACACATCTATATGTACAATATGCCCAAACAACACCAGTTGTCCCTAGGTGTAATCTATACTATCTGTTGTAACGCATATCATATCAGGAATGACAAACGAGCAACATGACCTGTGCGTGATGGATTGTAGTCCTAACAAAGCCAACTGTTTTACATTCATTTCTGTTCTCGGACATACAAATGTTATTTCACCATAACAAAAAGAATGTTTCTTTAGCTAATATGAAAATAATATATACTGAAAAGCAGAATAAACAATACCATATTTACACTTTACACAATACTAGTGATTTTCACAATACCAAGTATTCGCGACCACTTGTGTCATGTCGGAATCAAAACAACATGTCTCCGTCACCACTTGACGGTTCCGGGACATGCTCATGATACAGTCGTAATCATATAATGGACTCGCTATACAGCGGAGATGTCTTCTTACTATAGAACCAGTTTTACCGCTTTTTCAAATTGAAAACAAACTGTTGCTAAAAGTGTTATGTCATGAACATTTCAAAGAAACGGACGAGGACAGGGTAAAGCGACAGGGGCGTGTATCGCAAAAGCATGGCATCAAGCTATGTATATGTAGTTGTCACTGACGGGATCCTAGCACTTGTTGATGGACAAGGGCTTTTCTACAGTGCCAAGAGCCCCGTCAGTGGCAATCAAATACCTTGATGTGAGTGTTTGTGTTACAAATTCCTGTGTGTAAAACATCATGTTACATGTATTTGATTGAAATATAGGAGTTGGTTCCACTCAGGAAACCAAATTCAAACTACAAAGACGTTTCATGAAAATATACTGTCGAGCAAAGGGAAGTATATCCTGAATGATTAAATATGACCACAAATACAACCATATTACATACGTTAGTAGGCTCTGACACAGAAAATATTCTGCCAATAATGCAACTATAATACCCGTATCAAATATACACAAAGAACTTAGTTGAGCACCCCTTGACATATCTCACGATGGTATGAGCCAAGATCGTATATTTGGAGCATATCTGGGACATGATTGGTCGTCGTGTGCAACAAAGGGATTCTCCTGTACAGAACCTGGCCCAGTTGGAAGCTGCTTTACACGAGGCATGGCGTAGATTGCCCCTTCAGAGGATCAGGAGGCTGACAGGGGGTATGAGGAGGAGAGTGCTGGCTGTCATACAGTCACGTGGTGGTTACACTTGCTATTGACATTGAATCGTGTGAGAGACGCAAAAATGACATTTTCAATGTTCACATTCGCCAATAAATTCAACATTAAACATTCCAGGACCACCCATGTACAAATATCGTTTTGTATGAAAATCATTTTTGTCTTTTAAAATGAGCAATTGTCATCATAAAATCAACATTGATTCCAATCATTCTGTCGTGTTTTATGAGTCAAGGGATCATGCGGGTCAGAAAAACTCATGTTTTTCCATCGTGGTGACCACGAGTAGTTTTATGTACGTGTTGAAAACCTATCATTGCAAAAATACAGGGGTTGCTTAATTAAGTTCTTTGTGTACACATTACCTCAGAAGAATCAGTTTTGTTTTGCTTCAGTCATGAAACATGGGTGGAAACTTTCCTTTGCTCTTCAGTGTACAATATGTTTATATCATGTTACTAACACATACAACAATATGAGCATCGTAGTTTGGCGAATATTATAAAATGTTTAAAATATAGTAAGTATATAAACAATCATGCTGTCCACACATATTCAGTTCTGTCAAACACGCTGTTCATCCTCAACAACGATATGAAAATACTGATCGACTCCCGCGTGCTGCCAGTCCATACATGCAATACTAAACATCAATTGATAATGCTTAAAGGACATTTGATTTGGCCAGTTCATAGCACCATATGCCTGCTTTCATGAATAGTTATGCATTTACATGAACACGCAGTATAAAAGTCGAAACCTGGTGGAGGCCACACCAAGACGAAGATGTCAATAGGGCAGTTGATTTTACCCCAGTCTGTAACTTAGGTGCATTGTATAGCATTGGGTGCTTTGTACCCATTGGATTTCACGAATATGCGTAGCCTATTTCATAAGGTAAAGAACATGCAATATATTTACATTACACAAGCAAATATGTGAATATTAAAATAATAATGGTAGATGTATAGACGCGAGTTTCAATTAACATGTCAGCGTATTTGAAGGTCTCATGTGTTGTGTCATTCGGTGCGTCAATTTTTCAGAAGGTAGAGTTGGAGATGACAGAAATGCTCATCTGACAATCACTGTGATCACACGTAATGTTATTCACGTGGCGTCTCTCAGTCTCCAGCATATAAGTAGATTATACAAGCTGAAGGACAGACATAATGTTTTCGAGACATGCACATGTTTTATCAAGCATGACTGGACAGAATGAGACAGTTGTGGAAGATATATTAAGGTCACACCTTGGCCAAAATACATGGACAAAGTCTGACAATTTTGAAACATATATTAAAAGTCTCAACTTGGCCAATATACATTGACAAAATCTGACAAGTGTGAAAAATATATTAGGACACACAAGGGCCAGAATACATTGACAGAATCGGACAATTCTGAAAAATTTATTAAAGGTCTCACCTTGGCCAAAATACATGGACAAAGTCTGACAATTGTGGAAAATATATTTAAGATCTTACCAGGTCCAGAATACATTGACAAAGTCTGACTGTTGTGAAAAATATATTAAAAGTCACCTTGGCCAAAATACATGGACAATGTCTGACAATTGTGAAAAAATATATTAAATAATAATTATTTAAAATAATTTCTGGTATCACGGCAGGGATACCAGAAATTGGCTCCACACATTGTGTCCATGCGGGGAATCGAACCCGGGTCTTCGGAGTGACGAGCGAACCCTCTAACCACTAGGTCACCCCCGTAAATTTGAACCAAGGCAACAAAGGACTATTTTTACACGAAGACTTACTTTAACGGCAGAACATATACATGTACCTTCTGCCTCACGGTGATTCATCAATATTCATTTATGATGTCACTTCCATGGTTATGATAAGTGTCATTACATGATACAACGTGATTATTTCCAAGGTTATACACCAGCTGGTTATGTAATATACAACAATTTCACACTGAACAGTCCACATACTGATGGACAAGTGTGATACTGAGTATAGTATATCAGTGAAGGCCATATCGGACATGACACTCAATATAGTACTTCAGCTAGACAACGTCTACTCGCAAATACCAAACTGCTCTTGACATATATAGCTTTGATGTGAATATTTATGGATCGCAGTTCATGCCAATATTTCATTACAAATGCGTTTACCTGAGTTAACGTTCGAGCTATTGTGTGCAGTATGAATGATTGCCAATATGGTTTTATTGATCTGAAGAGACACATGCGCTGTATGCTTTACATAGTAATATAGCATGTTATATATGCAGTGACAGATACTATGGTATCGTGGTATTACAGCTGTTATTCTCCTGTATAGTAAAATCGAGTCAAATGTTCTATTTTTTATGATCAATCCAGAATTCAAAGTTGACTATGAACGACTTCATAACTAACATCTTGCTGCCACAGGTGGTTTACTTAATAAAAATGCCACACATTTCCGTGTTAGAATAATTCCAGATTTGAAAGTTGTTTATGGTCAGTTTCATAATTCCACCTGCTCAGAGCTGTTTTTCATTCTATATTGCAATTTCAAGCACACGTGAATTCAATGCATTTCTAAGTGGTTTGCACGCGCTAATAGTAACTAAACCTATACATGCGAATTCAATACCACCACGTGAACCTATCAGCACATATTATATACAATCAGTGTAAAAATAATGTAAGAATAAAGACGAATTTGATAAGTAGGGAATGTGCGTGTTAACGCACTATAGGCAGTGCTCAGATATAATAAAAGCCTGTACTAGTAAGATCTATATCTTCGCAGATCATGTTACAAGATACAAAAAGACCTATCGTGTTACTTGAGTTCTTGGTCATGTCAATGCAGTTAAACCTACATACTACATAAGAGCATTTGTTATTTACGTCGACAATGTTTTACATGCCATTCCTGACGCACTGGTGGAATTATATAAGGAAACGGATCTGAAGTCATACATGTGTTCGCTAGAAATTATTTGGCTATGTTATGAACATACTATAGTAATAACGTAATATTTTTCACATTAAAAACATATAACACAGGGACGTAGTTTTAGATCTGAATCAGTCTTAATGAGTATAACAACAACCACTTTTTTTTCAGTGGTATTGGTGTACATTTCCTTATTTAAGTCATCAGTACATAACAGATCATTAAATACAGAACGTCATTGAGTGAGTTTATAGTCACAGCGACAGTATTGCAGCCATATCGTGACTAAACTTGTGCAATTCATGATAAATCCTGTCGACGAAGGAAGTAAAGCCGGGTCCTGAAAATCAGTGTTGACACTAGGTGTTTAGAAGATTCTTTTAAATGGAAGACTACACAACAAGTGCATTTGTCTGTCGTGGAGATCTGTATATCGAAGCATTACCATCTGCCAACATTGACAAGGAGCCTACATTCACCAGTGACCCTTCCATGCCAATACGACGGTTTAATTTGTCAAACCTGGCTATATCAATGATTAAATCTACCTTAGTTTCATCCATCTCCGAGTCATCAGATTCAATCTCAAGTCTAATGTCATTTGCCTCATTGGTCACATTGGTCTCAACGAGGGGGATGGTGTCTTTATTTTCAGCGTTGTTGTTATCTGCATTCACTATTTCGCTCTCATCACCTCTTCCTTCCTTTTCCTCTGGCTTGACTTCATCTGCAGATTCAAGTGGCACTCCAGCTTCCGTGATGGATGCTGGTATGATGTCAGATACAAACCACTTCTGAGTAAAAGCGGCAATGGTTCTTTCAAATTCGGTCACGAATTGAATACTTCCGGTGTCAACTGTAAAGGAAGCACCTCCTTTCATGAAGAAATTCCTGAAAACAAAAGGCACAAATCCTCCGGCCAAAGTTGCCAACATTTGGTTGGTTGTGGAGAATTGGTTTCCAAAAGCAAGCACAACAATTACCACAAAGAACAGAAACACCATGATCTTCATGAAGTTGTAGAAAGCATTAACAGTGTTCTGCCATAACTTTCCAGGGCATCCACAATAGTTCATGTTTATGGTCTCAAAGAAGAACTTTTCTGGTGTAAAAGGCTGATCCATGCTGCTTAGGAACACCAACAGACCTTCAGTCTTCCATCTTAGGCTTCCATCTTTCACTTCGATTCCTATCCCTGAAGTATTGTCAGCAGCATTATATGAACTCTGGACACGGAAGACACTGTTTTCCTGGACGTCAGCTTCCTGTCTGGCTGTTTTCTTCATTTCATCTTGTTTCCTGCCGAGCAACTGGCCTCTGATGATCTTGTGGTAGGCCAGATACTTTGCATGAACTCCACCGAAGGCGTTTTTAGCATACATCCCTATTAGGAAGATGACGGTGACATACTGGAGGGTAGCTCCAGCATTGACAATGATGCCCATTAGAGTGTACACTCCAACTTCCACAAAGAAAGACAGGCACTCCATCAACAGGAATGTAAGGGACCAGAAGGATGTGAGACACATGATAATGATACAAAGTTGAATACAGACTTCTTTCTTGGACATATTTTCCTTTCCCTGGAACTCCTCTTCATCACCAATGTCCTTCAGGTTGAGATTATTTTTAACATTAGCCATGTTCTCTGACATCTTGTTGAAGCGATCCAAGACTTTGTTAGGACACATGAAGAGAAAGAGATGAATGATGAGCCTGATGCTGAGATTAAGAGCTGGAAAAGTGTAGAAGGCCAGGATGGGGATCATTATAGGCAGGAGAATGATCCAATAAAGGGGCACTAGGAAAAAACCAACCAATCCAAATCTCTTAAAAGGGAGGAGAGCAAGAGCAACTGCCCATCCATAAGCAGATAAACGAGATCTTTCCCGCATGTCCCGCAGACATTTTCTCAGAATAAACTTGAATCGATTTTTCATTGTTTTTCCAAGGAGTCCATACGCAAAAGAATCAATGGAAACTATGATGTAAATAGCAACAAACAGCCCATGGAGTGGGGTTAGGTACAGTGTGAAACTGCCATGGAAGTGCATACCCGTTTGAAAACGGTCCGCTGCTGCGTTTTTCTCCTCCACTATAACAGCTTCGTATGTGAAATACATAACAAGGCGAATAATCCAGGGGACGGCCAGGAGGCCAATGAGGATCATTTTGGCAAATATTCTCAAACATCTGAACCAGGTTAACACCTTGCAGCCCACGTCAATGACACCACAAATTCCAGTATCACAACAAGGTTTGAGGGATGGTAGGTTCCTCATCTTGCAGCGGAATATATTCTCATATATCATTTTCGTAACAGACACAGGGACGTAGGTTTCTGATAACAGTTTCCTTGCCTTCACTAAGAGTTGAATACGATGGAGCTTTAGGTCGTATATTTTGTCAACCTGTAGACTGTTGAGTGAAAGCTTCATGTATTCAAGCCCCTCGAGTTCCTCCAGCCTGATCGGTGGGTTTTCACTGGTGTACGAGCCTGGGTACATCGTCTTCACAATTTTAATTTTCTTTTTCTTCTTATCTTGAGGAATATTGTAAACATATTCTGTGGCTGTGAACTTTTTCCTGTAGAAGGTGTCTGGGACAAACAGCGGACTGTACAGAACGACCAAGACCTTGATCAGGATGATGCATATCAGAAGGACGTTAATCCATACATCGCGGTGAACATCTTCACATATTTCCTGACCGTCTGGATCTATATGGCAACAGTGGTACACAAAATTAGCCGTGTCGTCGATTGGGACTATTCTCATGTTGCATATTCGCTCCCCTTTGCTTAGACTTTCACTCTTCTCACCTGGGCCAGGTAACTTGAAGTCATTAAATACCATGTACCTCGTCATGTTCTCTCGTTCCACTGATGTCAGTTGATTCATACATCCAGATGGCTTCTCATCAAGCTCAACGTTCATCAACACAACTCCTATTCCGAGCAACGACAATGACAACATCTCAAAGTTGTCGTCCAACATCAACAAGCTTTGTCCTTGTCTTGAAGTAGATCGTATCCATAGGTTCGGTCGAAATAGATCACCTCCTTTAGCAAGTAAAATGTCAGCAGGATATCTTTTGAATCTCACGTTATACTTTATCATTCTGATTCCACTTTTCAAAGCCTCGCTCAGCTCATCGCGAGTTTTAGAATTCGTGAGGAAAAACTCACATGTTCCAGCATCAGCTGTCGTCGCTGTAGTCACAGTCGTGGAGTTTAAGGCTGTAGTCACAGTGGTCACATTGGTTGTGGTGTTCGACGATGCTGTTGTTGCCGCAATAACACTTCTAAACATCAACAAGGCACAAACAACATGTATGCAACGGCAGACCGCCATGTTGGTTTCCCGCTTGCACGACACGAATGTTTGTACTGCCACAAAAGCCGGTGGTCTATTTCATACGAGAAGCGATTGGGAGGCACACACTCACTATAAGCCTGTAATGAAGTGTTACTGCAAAGCTGTGTTAAAGAGCGTCTCCATCGCTAAGTCACCTGTGACGATCGACCTCAGGTAAACCCATGGATACACTTCTTCTTGCCTTACAATTCAAGCAGTCGTTCATACACCAGCACAGCGTTGAACAGAACGTAACTTTTATCTCAGTTCGGAGCCTTCACGTCAGCATCGATTGAGGTATACCTGGCCAGCGGTCGCGCTTCGCCGCAGAAGCAGATAGAGTACATTCGCACAATATAGGCAGCCCGAGGTGGTTGTGATCAAACAGGTGTTGTACGTTTCAGCCACAGGTTGTAATCTCTGGTCAATAGCCTCGTGAAACCGTTGACGGCTTGAACTATCTCGCCTAGATGCAGGAGATATAGTTGGGTTTTATAAGTCCTGGTTTCAGATCAATGTCAAGTTGACATGATTGTGTTTGCATTGAGTCAGTGGGTTGGATGACATTCTTCCGTATCATGTATATTATGTTTTTCTTAGCATATCTTCCTCCGAGTCAACAATAAAATATGTCCAAATCGTTTTAGATTGATCGGACTAAATCAAGATGAAAAAAACTCAATTGGATAAACATAATTGTCGAAATGATCTATTTGAACATGGATTTAAAGAAACTTGGGATTCAAAACTGCGCGTTACTTATGTGGTTGCCTGGACAACTGACACCAGTGTTTTGGGTATCCTTTAGGACCTGTCTCCTCAGGCGTGGTCTCTTTGGAAACACAAACTAAGATTTTTCACATGAATACGTGCAAAGGCGCATATATTTTATGAAAGGACAAGGCTTGATTGTTTACAAACAACAATGACATGTGTTGCTGAATGCGGCTTTACCCCGTGGCTGCCACATAGAAATAACCCGTGTTTTGTCGCTATGCCGAGTATATTTGAGCGAGACGTTGTGAAAACGTCATACATTCGTCTAAAATGTACGTGAAATAGAAACGCTCCAAAATGTAAAAGTTCAGTCATTTCGTTCACGGACTATGTAAATATTGTATATCATTACCTTGATTATGCATAAGAAATAGCTCGGCAAAAGTGTAGTATATGCGATTTTTACAAAAGGTCCCCGGCTGCTATTTTTTGTGCATTCTGCGTCGGGTCATTTGTGCGCTTCGTTAGATTGCACGTTTTCAGTAATAAACAAAACGAAAACATCATACGAAAGCTCGTTTGATTCACAATTGCTATTCGAAAATGAAATATCTAGTGGAAGTTAAGCCAGCGAAATAGTCGATTACAAATTCGTTAAAATTTGTGTGACGCCATTTTGCCCGTAAACTGGTTAAACTGTGACGTTGTCCTTTGAATGTCATGTCGGAAAATGCAAAAACCTGTTTGTGACATATAAATAAAATCTTATACGTGCAATCTGTAGTTTATTGTAGTTTATGTTCTCATATGCATGTTGACGGGAAACATTAACTGTAAGATCAGCATTGACGTGTTTTCAAGAAAGAGGAAAGCGAATCAACAACTCAAAATAAAAGCTAAAGACTTTGCTAAAAAACATTTTCGGAGTATTAAATCTATATTATTAGCGGTCATTATTCACTTTAATGTTAAAAAAGCTATTTAAAACAATGTGAAAACAATCATGCACCCATGAATAGTATTTCCTTTACTTCCCTGGCAACAAGGGCCTTTATTACGGCTCTTGTCAAGTAGTTCGCTCATAATACCCGCAATGGCGGACACATCGAAAGAGTTAGTTTCGTATCTATATGTAGACTGAATGACGTGTTTAGATTTTCATTTAAAATCATTGTGGTAAATAGTAATTTCAGAACAAAAAATACTTGGAGCAGAAATACTTGGAAAGAGCTGTTGTGTTGTCGAGAGGTTTGCATGTTTAAAAATGTCGCCTACAATGTTCAGTGGTGTGTCTGATTTCGGATTTACTTAATTTGGTCCATACATTCACTCATTCACACGCTACGAAACAAAGTGCTTAGTCTAGGGGAAGATTTGATATAATCAACTAACAAGTATTTTGATAATTCCTTTCACGAAACCATGAATGCGTCAAATCCGGTTAGTTGTGTTGAATGAATTACCTCTTGGAGATCCACGTAAACTTGGCTAAAACTTTAATCTACATTAAGGAACTTTGGTCCCATGAGATTCAAACAACAGCAATTTTGTATACATAAGCCGAAGTCAGTCAATGAGAAGCTGATTGGTGTAGCAAACTGATCCAATTAACAAACCAGCGCGGCTCACACCTTTCCGCCATTGACGGGTGAGTTCAAAAGGCAGATTAGTGATTTTACGGAAATCACTGTCTGTGCTAATCAGACTGGAACTGATAAGGTGCCCTATTATTGATATGGAAATCATTAGATAAACAAATGCTTAGGCGGAGGAATTAGGACTGGATCATCTTTTTTTCTACCCTCATAGACATACCTATGTCTCGAATACATCGATAAGTCGAATTTATTACTTGGTCCCCAGCGATTCGACTTATCGGAATTTGACTGTACTTACACAAGTGCGGAATGCTTTCTCTGGCTGTGTGAAATACGTGTGAACCCTTTAATGGCAGCTTGAGGCCAATTCCAGTTCCTTAGCTGGGGCGGTGGGGTAGCCTGGTGGTTAAAGCGTTCGCTCGTCACGCCCAAGACCCGTGTGCAATTCCCCGCATGAGTACAATGTGTGAAGCCCATTTCTGGTGTCAACCGCCGTGATATTGCTCGAATATTGCTTAAAACGGCGTAAAAAGTAACTCACTCACTCTCACACTCACACTCCTAATTGAGCTCATGTCTATAGGTGATATTTGTGCCTTCCGTGTGTGCACTTACTTTGTACATATATTTTAGGGGGGTCATTCACATTCTTCCCAGCCATAAATTATGAACGGTCCCTAAGTACGACTTCAATAACACGAGGATGAAAGTAGAACCGGCCAAACTCCCTTTTATATGGAGTTAATGAACCAGTCAAACGTGATAGTCCCCTAAAACAACAGGTGTTGGGTCAAAGTAGATACCCATAAACTAGAGACAAGACCAAATAGTTTGATACATGGAGTTTTAATGTATACAATTAATACAATTCACGTCGTTCGATAAAGTTAGGATATTTATCTTAAAATGATATACATAATGTACATATATAATTTCACATAATTACACATACACTACACGCCAAAAGAAACGTTACCCCCCTCTTTTATGAATTACTGAAAAACTATCAAAGATATGTTAGAAGGCATTAGTTTACAAGAAAGCTGAACAACACAGCTTTATGCTAATCACGAAAAACTTTTCTCAAATGCATTCATATTTAGGTGAAATGCATCTTTTTTAGAAGAATTAAATTGTCCTATATTCTTCCATGCCGAAATTGACCAACAACAGTGATTTAGATGTCCAAAAGAAAGGTTGAAATATAATTCTGCTTTGAGACAAAGATAAACCATTTAAAGTCACCCTTTTTCAACTATTAAAACAAGAAATAACTGTTGTAGAGTGTGTAAAATTGTAAAAGAATCATTCTTATGATTTCAGTCTTTTATAACATTTTCTGCTGATTTGCATAAGTGAAAACAAGTAAAACGTGTCTTTGATATTGTGGTAAAGTGTTTAGGAACATCTAAGATTATCTGTGTTAACCTTTTTGCTTGCAAAGTAACATTTTTCCATTTTCTGTTTACACAGAGCAATATCAATCGCAAAAACGTAGCAATACTCAAGCAGTATTTGCATCCATTTCACGTGTAGAATGATTCTATAGGGTATAAAGAGAAACTAGAATGCATGATATGATACACAAGTACGAGAAATATGCCACGATTAACAGCTGAAGAGAGAGAGAGAAAGAGCCATTGTGATGGCGCAGATGGGGTCGACGTACAATGCTGTTGCCAACGCCCTCGGATGCCACCGTATCACGGTTATCAGACTTATTCAGGGCTACAGACAGACTACGGTCACCGACAGACCATGAAGTGGACGTCCACGCATCACAACGCCAGCTAAAGATAGGTACCTCCGTCATTAAGGAAGGAGGGTAACGTTTCTTTTGGCGTTTAGTGTATGACATCAGAGACATTTTAATGGTATTTGTAAGTTGATTTTTAGTGTACTTCATTGTGTATGCAAGATGAAGACCTTGTGTTCACTTTTCAACATCCTCAAAGTAGGGGTTAAAATTTGATGTATATAAGTTCACAGGTAACTTACTACCCCTACACCGTGGCTGGCCAAGCTAATTCTAATCCTTAATAGATAGGATTAATTAACATAGGGCTGGGTGAGCCGGAATAACCCCCTTTCCATATCCATAAGAAATCTCAGAGTCGATTGTACAATTGTGACTATATCATGAGTATATATTTGTTTCAGCAGCATTACAGCTGTACGATGTTGTTTGTAAAAAGTCAAGTCTGGACGGTAAGACAATCCAGTGATTGTCACCATGCGATACGATGACAGAGCATGTGTTTATGAATCACTATGAAATAGTGATGATACCAGGTGTTTGAGATAAGGTGAGAGTATCCTGCTCCACCGGCGACAAAACCTTCCAGCCAAACCCCACTTGTGAGTAAAAGACCTTTTGTGCTGCTAGTGACACCAGAATTAGAGACAATGATGTCACTTCCGGAAGCTCTTATATTACTCCATACCTCAAGGCAGTCAGACGTTTGCCTGATAGTTCGCCATTACGGATATTGGCATCAGTTTGCTTCTTTTGCCAGCTGATGTAAATACTAGAATAGTGAGTGAGTGAGTTTGGTTTTATGCCGCACCCAGCAATATTCCAGCTATATTGCGGCTGTCTGTAAATAATCGAGTCTGAAACAGACAATGCAATTATCAACAGCATGAGCATCGAGTGAGTGAGTGAGTGAGTTAAAATGTAAGGTCACCCCGGCGATATTTCAGCTATATAGTGACGACAAATGTTGTACATACACAATATATACATGTAATTGAATAACCAGTCATCGACGGACTGTAAAATAACTAGAGTATCACAAAAAGAGTTAAAACTAGCTAGTATTATTTTTAAAAGTAGAAAACTATTTTAGACAATACAATGTAAAAATGGGGTAGTGATCGCCAACAACTGAAGGTGGATCACCATACTAGGGACCATGGCGTGAGCATCGATCTACGACATTGGGATACAATGGCATGTGTCAACAAAGTCAGCGAGCCTGACCACCCGATCCTGTTAGTCGACTCGTACGACAAGCATGGATTTCTGAAGACGAATTCTAACCCGCATCTTCGCGGGTCTAATAGAATAGGGTCAGTTGGCAAAATTATTTGAAAGTTGCCTATTTGACAGGTAGGTAATGCA